TAGAAACATACCCAAAAGTGACAGAGATAAAGGAGTTAACACACATGGAATTCAGCATTATAAACCATGGAAATAGTCCAATGAAGCTATATACATAGCAGGAAAGAACAGAAAAGGTATTCAAACAAAAATGAGAGAAACATATGGAACATCCAGAGATTACAACACTCGGAATAACAAAATTCATTGGGTGGGCTTAACAGAAGACTAGATACTAAAAAAGATAAATGTTAGTGAATTTAATGACAGAGTAACAGATACTATCGAAATTGAGTTACAGAAGGAAAAAAAAAGGCTGAGAAAAAGAGTAAGAGCATCAGTGGCATGTGGGAATCTGAGTACTTGATATTCCCACGTCATTGAAGTTCTTACTCCTTTTTCATATGAGTAGTTAGACTAACTTACTTGATATTAGTAGTTAGACTAATTTTGTTGGTCATGTCTCAGAGGGGTTTGGGCAGAAGGATAAGAAAAATAAAGGCTGAAAATCTTGAAACTGGATAAAAACCATGAAACTCCAGATACAAGAAGCCCAACAAACCCAAGTAAGACAAATCAAAACACATCATACTTAAATTCCTGAAAGCCAGTCAGAACAGGAAAGGCTTTCAAAATACCCACAGAAAAAGGCACAGAGGATAAAGAAGTCAGGCTAAGAATGCCTGTAAGCGTCTTTTCAGGACTATGGATGCCATAAGATGAAATAAAAGCTCTGAAAGGCAAAGATAAAAAAGAAAAGACTGTCAAATGAAAACTTCAAGACATCCTTCAAAAATGAAGGCAAAATAGGCCCTATATGATGGCTCACACCCGTAACCCCCGATTTTGGGAGGCCGAGGTGGGCGGATCATCTGAGGTCAGGAGTTCAAGACCAGCCTGGCCAATATGGTGAAACCCTGTCTCTACTTAAAAAAAAATACAAAATTTAGCCAGGCGTGGTGGTGGCACGTGCCTATAATCCCAGCTACTCGGGAGGCTGAGGCAGGAGAACTGCTTAAACCCGGGAGGTGGAGGCTGCAGTGAGTCGAGATTGCGCCACTGCACTTAAGCCTCTGTGACAGAGTCTCGCTCTGTCTCAAAAAAAAAAAAAAAGAAAGAAAGAAAGAAAAAGGCAAAATAAAGACAATTTTCAAACAAACAAAAATTGACAGACTTCTGCTAGAAGTCTCTAGCAGACTTCACTACAAGACTCATTGAAAGAAGTTCTTAGAGCTAAAGGAAATTGGCAGTAAATGGAAACTTGGATCAACACACAGGAAAGAGAAGTTCCAGAACAGGTAAACACATGGGTGAACAGAAAATACTGTTTTCATTTTTTACTATCTTTAAAATATGCTTGACAACTTTAAACAAAACAAAAACAGTAATGCACCGTGTGGCTAATAAAATGCAGAAGTAAGACAGACGACACAAATAGAAAGGATGGGAAGGAAGTCATGGACATCTACTGTGCATGACTCTTACACTGTAAGTGACATGGAGAAAGACCGTGATAAGTTAAAAACACACTGGAAACATGATAATGACACAAAACAGAACTAACGCACATAGCTAATTAGCTAACAGTGGTAACTAAATGGGAACATAACACACCACCAGAAGATGAAGAAAAGAAGAAACGGGATAAATCGAACCTAAGGAGTCAAAGGACTGACTTCACAACCACATTGATGATTACAGTAAATGTACACAATAAAAATGCAGCAACTCTCAGGATAAAAAAAGCACTACCTACTTGTATTACACTAAGAAACACACTTTAAAATCAAAGAAAAAGATACATAAAACAAAAACTAATGGAAGATATACCATGTAAATGCTAATTTTAAAAAAGCTGGAATTACTATAATAGTAAAGAACAAAATAGATGTCTCAACAAAGAATATTACCAGGAATAATGAAAAAGGGCATATTCAAGAAAACATAATAATTGTGAATGTGTATGAACCCAGTAACAGTGCTTCAGTAGAGATAAGGAAACAAGTAACAGAGCCAAAAGGAGAACTCGTTCAATCTACAGAAGGTATGGGATCTTAAAAGTTTTCTTCAGTAATTCAGAGAACGAATGGTAGAAAACAACTATAAAACTTTTTAAACAAGTTTCCATTAGCTTGACCTAATGAACATTTATAGAACATCCAGACAATAGCAGAACCAACATTATTTTTAAGCTCACATGGAATACTGACCCAGAGAGTTCATACGCTGGGCCATATCACAAGTTTCAATACATATGAAAGGACTGAAATAGAACAGAATATGCTCCGTGACCATAAGATAATTAAATAACAATAAATTACCAGACATTGGGAAAATCCCCAACTATTTAGCAAATAACAATGTATTTCCAAATAATCAAGGGATGAAAAGAAGAAATCATGAAGGAATTAGAAAATATTTTTAACTAAATGAAAACGATTTTTTAACTAAATTATTAACTATTGTTAACTAAATAAATCACAATTTGTGTGACATAGGTAAACAATGCTTGGAAACAGGTTTATAGCTCTGAAAGTTTATAAATAGAAAACGATAAGTTATAAAATCAAAGGTCTAACTTCCACCTTACAGAGGAAGAAACAAAAAAAATTATACATAAACTATGTAGAATGAAGGAAATAAAGAGCAGAAATTAATACCACAGAAAATGAACAAACAATAAAGATAATCAATGAAACCAAAAACGAGTTCTTTAAAATGATCGATAAAACAGAGACAAACTACCAATACTGGGAGTGAAAGAAGGAATCCTAAAATGGCTAAAAATAATGAAATATTATGAACTTTATGCCATTAATGTCAACTTACATGAAATGAACCAATTCTCTGAAAAACACAAATTTCCAATGAGGAGAAAACCTGATTAACTCTGTACCAAAGAAATTCAATTCACAATCAAGTGCTTTCCCAAAAAGTAATCTCTAGGATCACAGTTCCAAAAGCGAGTTTGTTCAACATTTAAAAAATAAGTAATACCAATTTTATGCCAACTATTTGAAAAATTACAGGAGGCAAAGAGACTCCCAACTTATTATAAGGCCAGCTTACCCCTAGATATCAAACTAAAGACATTAAACAAAGGCAATACAGATCCGTATCTTTCATGAACATCAGCACAAAACATCCTTAACAAAATGTCAGCATATCAAATACTGTGACATAATAAAAAGACATGCAGTATGACTACTAGGTGAGGTTTATGCCAGTAACACAAGACTGGTGTAACACATATGAAATCAGTCCACATACCATCATATTAATAGATAAAGGAGAAAATCCGTATGATCATCCCTACAGATGCAGAAAAGCTTTGGAAAAATCTAACACCCATTCATGATAAAACCTCTCAGCAAACTAAGACTAGAAAGAACTTCCTCACCCTGACAGGCACTCCCTGAACAAGCTGCAGCTAGCATTATCCACCAAGGCAGAATGCTTTTGCTCCGAGACTGTCAACAGGACACATCACCAAAGAGGACAAGCAGATGGCAAACAAGCACACGAAACAATGTTCAACACAACCAGCCATCACAGAAACGCAAACTGAAACCACAATAGGGTATCACTGCACACATCCGTCAGAATGACTACAATAAAAACTGGTGACAACACTGAAGGCGGCAAGGACACAGAGAAACCAGGTCACTCATCCGGTGCTGGTGACGACAGGCAATGGCACGGCCACTCTGGAAAACTGTTTGGCAGCTCCTTTGAAAGCCACACTGTGTGATCCAGGAACTGCCGCATGTACACACACCCCAGCCCCATCCTCAGGTGAGGAGGTGCTGCTCCCTGACATATGACTTCACGACGTAATAGCTGCCTGGTTGACTCTACCCACCACCAAGCAGGTAAAAGGTAGCTGTCAACAGCCCAGCCTCTCCAATCTGCTCATCTGTTGGTCCAGTAGAACCTACCTTCCCTCATTCACTAACCATGAAAAAATGTAAGTTGTAATAACTCTAAACATATAAATTATGCATAGTATCCTAGAGAATTTAAGTAAACAATCACAGAACACTGAAAATTAAAAACCCATGAGAACAAATCATCTGAGTAGCATCTCGCTGCCTGGCTTTGACTGAGAAGCCTGACCCAGAGAAGCAGCTTGGACGATTTTCAAACAGAGCTCCTGATCTGAAGGCTAATGAAGCCCATGTGATGTACAGAGAGAAAACAGAAGAAAGAAAAACACTTTTATGTGCCTAAGTAGGTGAAAATTTAAAACAGGATATTCATTTGTGAGTATCTGGTTTCACTGATTCGAAAGATTCTACACACACGAGCATGTATGTACTTTTTAATTGGCAAACACCAATATAAAACCACAAAGGAGAGGAGCAAACAGCCAAATAAGAAATAAAAATTTCTGGCTGGGTGTGATGGCTCAAACCTGTAATCCCAGCACTTTGAAAGACCAAGGTGAGAGGATTGCTTGAGGCCAGGAGTTCAAGACCAGCCTGGGCAACATAGCAAGACCCCCATCTCTACAAAAAAAATACTAAGAACTGACAGGGCGTGGTGGTGTGCACCTGTACTCCCATCTACTCAGGAGGCTGTGGAGAGAGCATCACTTGAGCCCAGGAGTTTGTGGCTGCAGTGAACTATGATCACATTACTGTATTTCAGTCTGGGCAAAAGAGTGACAACCTGTCACATAAAAAATAAAATAAATTGAAAAAGAAAAAAGACATTAAGAGGAGGAGGCAGAAGAAGGGGAGGGGGGCAAGGAGAGGAAAGAGGGGGAGGAAGGTGAGCAGAAGGAGAAAGAAAACCTAAGTGTCAAGGAAAATTCACAATTACCTAAAACTGATTATGTGCTAAGACATCACAGAAATTATTTTGGCATAATTCTTCAATGAACCTTCATGAGGAATAAAGAAATTATAAAACAAATTCTCAATGCATTAAATAAATTAGCTGGTATAAACAGAAACATGTGTGAAACCTGGAAACTACCACTAAAGATAAAAGGATGCAGTAGTCTTGATGCTGCTCACCCCCAGAGCCGGCAGCCGTTGCGTGCAGCTCACTGCCACCTTCAGCTTCCAGTCAGTTTCACCATCTAGTTGATCAGTTCGAATAAAACACGAACCTTGGAAGTAGAAAATAAAAATTTACCACTCTTGAATTGTGTTACAGAAGGTTTTTCCTGAGCTACAAGTGCCATCAAAGAGTAATTCCAGGGCACAGTAGGACAAATACATAACAACCTAGATATTCCCAGGAACAAAAATCCTTAAAAACCTTTATTTTACACAATGTTCCTTGATTCACAAAACAAGTTTCATGAAAAGATGTAGGCCATTACATTCTTTTAAATCACTCATTTCCTATTTGTTGCTCTTGCCTATTAGGTTTAACATTAATCAGTCTTCTATTTTAGAAAAACTGCATTGATCATTTCTACTTTCAATGTATGTTCTGATAATAACAAAATAACAAACACACAAAAATATCCAAGAGTGTATGGTATTATCTTGCTAATAAAATATCAGATTTACCATCATAAAAAATGTTCAATCATAAAAGCACAACTACAATGCTAAGACCAAGGTAATTGTTACCATATGCCCACAGGCCTATCCAGTTTCAAACGTGCTAAGATATTCTATAAAGAAAATCCATTACTCTGGACATGCTATCATCCCACTTCTCAGAGACTATTCTAACGATGGAATAGCAAAAGCACAAAATGACATACACACAAAGCCGCTCCCTGCAGCATTATTTATAGTAACAGAAGACTATTGTGAAACAAAGGGGAACAAACAGAGGACTAGCTATAAACAGAGCACATACGGCAATAGAGAGAGAGAAGAAAGTAAAGCAAACAAGATGACCTCGATACACTGACATGGAAAGATCTCTAGGATATAGACTGTGAAATGAAGAAAGCAAGGTGCTGGACATTATATATAGAAAAATACATTATAGTTAAGAACAAGGGAGGGAGGACAGAGAATTTCTGTATGTCCATACATATCTCTATGCATGTATAACTATATACATACATGTTCATCTTTGTGTGGATATGTATCTATGTGTGTGTGTGCATGTATATGTGAGTGTGCATGCATGGCTAACTTGTGTGTGTGCAAGCGTATCTGTGTGCACACATGCATGTGTATATATGTATTTGTGTGTGCTTGCGTGTATGTTTGTGTACATGCGTATCTGTGTATAATATGCATGTATAACTGTGAACAAGCACCTGAGGATCTGTGTGTTTCTCTGTGTGTGCATACTGGTGTGTGAACATATCTGTGCACACATGTGTACCTATGTACGCATGCAAGCATATCTGTGTGAGGGATGTGAGGGCATGCAAATCTGTGTTTCTATGTGTGCTCCTCTATCTGTGAGTGTATTTGTATGCATGCAAATGCTTCTGTGTGTGTGCACATATATCTGTGTGTGCATGTATGTGTGTATAATACCTATAGAGGGAGGAAGGGAACAGGAATAGATGCTAAGACTTCTGAATATATCTTATACTGTTCACTTTAAAATCAGATACATTTTATATAATTAAAAAGCCAAATTACAGCAAACTTTTAAAAAACTCCTAAAAAATAAAAAGCAGCGTATAAAACATAATTCACAGTTTAATCACAGTGAGAATTCATCCAGGTGACTTCTGAGGTTTCAGAATTTTTTTTTTTTTTTTTTTTTTTGGGGGACAGAGTCTAGCTCTGTCGCCAGGCTGGAGTGCAGTGGCGCAATCTCGGCTCACTGCAACCTCCACCTCCCGGGTTCAAGCCATTCTCCTGCCTCAGCCTTCCAAGTAGCTGGGACTACAGGTGCGTGCCACCACGCCCAGCTAATTTTTTTGTATTTTTAGTAGAGACGGGTTTTCACCATGTTGGCCAGGATGGTCTCGATCTCTTGACCTCGTGATCCACCCGCCACAGCCTCCCAAAGTGCTGGGATTACAGGCGTGAGTCACCGCGCCCAGCCTGGTGGAGAACGTTATACTGGGAAGACGGGTTGATAGCACCTGTATCTATTCATCACTAAAAGACAGACATGCACACATCTGCCTACAGTTACAAACAGGACTACACAGAAGCACTGCTGTAGTATTCTTTCACCAAAAAAATGAAAAGCTAAAAGAAAACTGAAAATGAGTATGGTCAACCCTTTAGATCCACCTACCAGTTAACAAAAATACAAGAAATAAAGAAATGTATTAATAATATAGTTGTTTTGTGTATGCACTCACACAAATCTAGAATATCAGATATTCTCTATGTCCAATAACCCTGTTTTTTCAACAAATAAAAAAACAAAGATAAGGAATTGTTGTAGATGAAAACAGATTTGAGAGATACCTGTAACAAGTGCAAGAGAAGGGCCCTCGCATCCTGACTAGAACAGATCAACTGTAAGAAGAGGTGTGTGAGACAATCAGAAACCGGGAGACTCACCAAGTGTTAATCTGAGAAATTCTTGTTCAATAGTTTATGGTATGATAATGGAATTGTGGTTGTAATTTGTAAATGCTGAATTTGTTAATGCAATCAAATTATACACAGGATTTTATCCAAATGAGACATACGGATGAAACAAGTCTGGTTATTTAGAGAAGTTTTCCAGGGGACAATGGTGATGCAGCAGTCCATTACACCATGGCTTCATGCAGTGAAAATTCCTATAATAAAGTTTAAGATCCAATTTTAAAAATTGAAAATGAATAAAAACTTTAAGGGAATTTTATTTCCAGAAGGATAGAGCAGATGTACTCTTTCCTATTCTTCCTAAATAAAGCAAAGAAATGCTGAACATTAAATTTTTAAAAATGATGATGATTCTAGAAAAGCAGGAAAAGTGCAGTCCAGCTCAAGTCCTCGGGTATCAAGAAAGGACAGTGGTGATTTCCTGTTTTCATCTTGCCCTTTTTATCTCAGACTAGCAACTGAAGAACCTGGTCACCCATAAATGCCAACAGGTCTTTACTTCATGACTATTATAGTCCCATGAAGATTTTCTTTAAAGATACAGGCAAGATTATTCTAAAATGTGTATAGAAAGGCAAAATTGTTTAAAAGAGCTAAAAGTTGTTTAGAAGAGCTAAAAAAAAGTGGGCGGGGGGTAAAGGAAGAAAAACTGGGAGAAATCAGCCCACCAGATTATAAGACTTTTCAGACAGCTGCAGTAACCAAGACTGTTTGATACTGGAGAAGGAACAGAAACACAGATCAATGGAACAAAACAAAGAACCCAGAGAGAGTCCCCCCAACATCCAAGTATGGCAACTAATTTTGATGCATTCACCAAAGTAATTTATGGAGAATAGAATCTTCACTATAAATGACGCTAGAGCATTTGGATATACATAGCCCAACAACCCCAAAGCCTTGACCTAAACCTTACATCTTATACAGTAATTAACTCAAAATAGATCACAGATCTCAACGTAAAACTTTTCGGACCAAAAAAAAGCCAACACAAGAAGAAATTCGCAGGGCATATGGCTGGAAGATGAGTTCCTAAACAGGACATCAAACGCATAACCCGTTAAAAAAAATCAATTGGACTTTGATAAAATTAAATAGTTTGAATATGTAAAGATCTTTGCAGAAGATGAAAAGACAAACTACAAACTAGTAGAAAATATTTGTAAGCTGCGTATCTGACCAAAGGACGCCTACGTAGAATATATAAGGAACTCTCAATATCAATAGTTTAAAAAAAAAATCCAATTAGAAAATGGGACAAAGACATGAAGAGACACCTTCCTAGAGTCCTGAGGATGGCAAACACGCAGCAAGAACGTGCTCGACGTCACAGCCACAACGGAGCGGCACGTGCAAACCACGAGGAAGCACCGCTACACATACCACCAAACATCGGCCAGATATGGCAAAACTAGATGTCCCAGGCATCGCTGGTGGGAATGTAAAACAAAAACGTAACTCTGGAAAAGGGTTAGTCAGTCTTAAAATAAGCATATAATTACCATAAAAACCAGCAACCCCACTCCTGGACATCGATCTGGAGAAATAAAAACTTATGTCCACAAAAAAGCTGTACATAATTGTTCAAAGCAGTTTTATTTATAACAAAAACCTGTAAACAACAAAAAACTCCAACCAACAATGATGAATGGTTTAAAACATGCTGTGGTACATCCATCCATGAAATCCTAATTAGCAGCAAAAAAGGAACAAACTGTTGACTTATACAACAACTTGGATGGATCTCAAGGGTGTTGTGCTCAGTAGAAAAAGAGTCTCTAAGCCAGGTGCAGTGGCTCATGCCTGTAATCACAGCACTTTGGGAAGCCAAGGCAGATCACGAGGTCAGGAGCTCGAGACCAGCCTGAACCAGCCTGGTGAAACCCCGTCTCTACTAAAAATATAAAAATTAGCCGGGTGTGGGGGCATGCACCTGTAATCCCAGCTACTCAGGAGGCTGAGGCAGGAGAATCGCTTGAACCCAGGAGGCGGAAGTTGCAGTGAGCTGAGATCGCGCCGTAGGCCTCCAGCCTGGGGGACAGAGTGAGACTCTTGTCTCAAAAAAAAAAAAGAGTCTCTGAAGGTCATGAATGGTTTATTTCATTTATATAACATTCCAGAAATGACAAATGTATAGAAATGGAGAACAAATTCATGGTTACCCAGGGTGAAGGTTGCTGGAAGCAGAGGGATGGCTGAGCCCACAGGGCTAGTGTGAGGGAGATCCTCAGGGTGGTGCAACAGTTCTGCACCTTGACTGCATTGGTGGTGACAGGAACCCACACCCAAGATGAAATAACACAGCCTTACGTGCACACACTGTACCAGTGTCAACATCCTGGTCTGATATTCTACTACAGGTAAGTTGTCAACCACTGGAGGAATCTGGGTGAAGGGGACACACAGGGTCTCCCTGTACTATCTCTGCCACTTCCCAGGAGTCATTAATTATTTCAATGTAAAACATATTTTTTAAAAAGGTGTTGTTCACTCTAGGAGTAAGTTTTAAATGGCAAATTAAAGCTCTCAATTTAGGTTGCTAATACAACTGCAATCTATCTTTCCTATTAATATGTATCTATATAACTCAATTATACTGGTATAAAAATATTCACATTTGACAAGTGAATTGCTT